GCATGCTCTGATTGAATATTGAATTGCCAATTGCAAAATGAATTGCCATTTGAATTTTTGTGCTTATAATCTTCCATAACAGAACACCGGCCCTGATCTCATCCAAATCAAGTAAATTTTTCATTTTGTGTTCAGATTTAATTTTTCTTAGTACTGCTGTGCTGGTTCCTATTCCTGATCTGTTTTGAGCTGACAAAGAATCTGGATCTGCGTTTCCTAATGCATTATTATACATTCGGTAAGGTTTTATATTTTCTAATTTCACTGCTATTTCTTCTCGTTCATTACTTCTGAATGGCCATGCCTTTAGCTTATCACAAGCGTGTATTATCTCCCCACTATAAGTAATTGTAAACTGTAATCTTGTTTCATCCTCTGACTTTATACAGAAAGCCATTGTGCATGACTTATAAGCTGTGGGATTCAATAGAATTATAAAGAACATACAATGAATAGAGGAAAAGGAGAATATAGCTTAAAGCAGGGCATGATGAAAGGGGGGGGAGTTCATTCTAAAAAATGCAGTTAACTGAAACGAGAACTGACTGGAGCCGGCAGGGCAAGGTTACCTAATCGGGACCGATAGAGGGAGCGACAGAGAACGTCAGCGGCCCTTACGTATCTGTAGCCTTCCACAAGGACAAGTACTAACCGACTAACTAGAGCAAATGTCAAACATGTGGTTGTCACGTGGACGGAAGGTACCGAGAGAGGGGGTGGATGCCCAAAGGGCTTTAAAAGGGAAACAGCTGATACATATGGCAGAGCTTCCTCTTGTACATGCCGAATGTATGTCAGATGGTCGCTCCCGGATTGCAATCTGTCAGAGAATAAACTGGTGACCTGTAACTTCTCCATGTGTCAGCGGTGAATCTCTTGACTCGGTGGAGACGGCGTACTCCAACAATTTGGGGGCTCGTCCGGGATCACCAGGAGATTTGCAAGATTCGGCTAAGTGGTGACGCGGCCTACTTGTACACAGAGAACTGCAGTGCCCGACCAGAAGAGGTAAGCAGAGCCTGTTATATCAAAATCTGCACATTGGGTATGTCAAATTGAGCAGTTTGAAGTGTCCAGGGGCCCGTCGGTAAATTAAGACGGAGGAGAGGTTGCACGCACTCTTTTATATATTGGGTATGTCTATGTATTGTGTATGCATTGTGTCTAGGGATTGTGTGCAGGCATTGTGTGTGAGGAAGTAGAACTTTAAGGAGCGGAGGGTACGGGACCCCCGCAGTGAAGTAGGATCTTATGAAGCGGAGGGTAAGGGACCCCCACAGTGAAGTAGGATCTTAAGGAGCGGAGGGTACGGGACCCCCACAGTGAAGTAGGATCTTAAGGAGCGGAGGGTACGGGATCCCCACAGTGAAGTAGGATCTTAAGGAGCGGAGGGTACGGGACCCCCGCAGTGAAGTAGGATCTTAAGAAGCGGAGGGTACGGGACCCCCACAGTGAAGTAGGATCTTAAGGAGCGGAGGGTACGGGACCCCCACAGTGAAGTGGGATCTTAAGGAGTG